GTGTGACCTCCATCAGAGTCCACCCTGTACATCACCCCTTATTAGCAGGGCCCCTAAGAGAACCTGTGCCCATGGGGGGTACACATGTCCCAGCACCCACAGCCAGGTGGGCAGTCATCTGGACATGCCCACACCCCCAGCTTCCCACACCAGCAAGGAGCTCCACCTCGAAGTGGACAAGAAACGATTCCATCGCCGATGACACAGCAGAGGGACTGGGGGGGAGGATGCCACTGCCACAGCCTTCACACACTCAGGTGAGTCTGTGTGTGTGGCAGTGATGTCACCTCAGCTCACACCACCACCACGGGGCTCCTCACGCTCAGGTGAGTGTGGGTGTGGGCAGTGACGTCACCTCAGCTCACACCACGGGGCTCCTCACGCTCAGGTGAGTCTGTGAGTGGGCAGTGACATCACCTCAGCTCACACCACGGGGCTCCTCACGCTCAGGTGAGTGTGGGTGTGGGCAGTGACGTCACCTCAGCTCACACCACGGGGCTCCTCACGCTCAGGTGAGTCTGTGAGTGGGCAGTGACGTCACCTCAGCTCACACCACGGGGCTCCTCACGCTCAGGTGAGTGTGGGTGTGGCAGTGATGTCACCTCAGCTCACACCACCACCACGGGGCTCCTCACGCTCAGGTGAGTCTGTGAGTGGGCAGTGACGTCACCTCAGCTCACACCACGGGGCTCCTCACGCTCAGGTGAGTCTGTGAGTGGGCAGTGACGTCACCTCAGCTCACACCACGGGGCTCCTCACGCTCAGGTGAGTGTGGGTGTGGCAGTGATGTCACCTCAGCTCACACCACCACCACGGGGCTCCTCACGCTCGGGTGGGTCTGTGAGTGGGCAGTGATGTCACCTCAGCTCACACCACGGAGCTCCTCACGCTCGGGTGAGTCTGTGAGTGGGCAGTGACGTCACCTCAGTTCACACCACGGGGCTCCTCAAGCTCAGGTGAGTGTGGGTGTGGCAGTGATGTTACCTCAGCTCACACCACCACCACGGGGCTCCTCACGCTCAGGTGAGTCTGTGAGTGGGCAGTGACGTCACCTCAACTCACACCACCACCATGGGGCTCCTCACGCTCAGGTGAGTCTGTGGGTGGGCAGTGACGTCACCTCAGCTCACACCACGGGGCTCCTCAAGCTCAGGTGAGTGTGGGTGTGGCAGTGACGTCACCTCAGCTCACACCACGGGGCTCCTCACGCTCAGGTGAGTCTGTGGGTGGGCAGTGACGTCACCTCAGCTCACACCACGGGGGCTCCTCACGCTCAGGTGAGTGTGGGTGTGGCAGTGATGTCACCTCAGCTCACACCACCACCACGGGGCTCCTCACGCTCAGGTGAGTCTGTGGGTGGGCAGTGACGTCACCTCAGCTCACACCACGGGGCTCCTCAAGCTCAGGTGAGTGTGGGTGTGGCAGTGACGTCACCTCAGCTCACACCACGGGGGCTCCTCACACAGGGTACGCCATCATATTATAGGATCCTGGGAGCTTCATTGAAAGTATTTTACCACTGTGGACGCTAACAGATAAATCATGACGGAAGAGTGGCCAGTGGAAGTGATGACGGGGGTGTAGCATTCTGAGAACCAGAACTGTCCCAAACAGGAAGCAAAAAAAGCAGAAGGAAGGTGATGGAGACAAAGGGGACGCTGAGTGTGGACGGGCTGGGCCAGGGCCGCGGGCCTTCCCGAAGCCCAGCTGGCAGCATTCGCCCATTCACTGCATCAGTTTAAGGCAGCGGGGAGAGCAAGGGCTCGTCCTTGTGCTGGTTCGCTCCCCCGCTGGCCATCGAGGGGACCTGGGCAGCAGGCTGGCCTGCAGGGGGCCTGAGGCACGCGCCCCAGCGAGGCAGGGACCCCACCCGGTGCCCTGACAGCCGGCCCTCGCCTGCCCTGCGCACACTGCTGGCTGAGTGGCAGCGGGGATGCCCCAGGGCTGGGCTTTGCTGCCCTGGCCGCTGACGGGCGGAGGACTGCCAGGTGTCCCGCAGGACGCCGCGCCCCACTGGGCGCCCGGCATGGCAGGCCCAGGCCCTCCCGGCGGGCGGAGGAATGCGCAGGCGCGAGCGCGAGGGACGGAAGCGTGCGAGCACGTGACAGGCCGTCCACGTGACTGTCCCTCGTGCCGGGGCCCGGAGGTGAGGGGGCCGGCTCCTCGTCCTGCACCCCGAAACCCCGGGAAGAGTCCGGGAGTCGCAGCTGCCGCTGCGTTCGCCATGGGGCGGGGGTCGCGTGACGTCACTGCCCTCGGGCCAGGACCTGCCCGGGCCTCGCATGACGTCAGAACAGTCCGCCCGCCCCGCCGGGCACGGAGCCATTCCCGGGAGGGGCATCGCAACCAGGCTGAGTCCCAGACACGGGGAGCCCCCCGAGGGTCTCTTCCCGTGTGCAGTGGGCAGCTGCACCCCAACCAGGCCGGGTCCCAGACACGGGGAGCCCCCCGAGGGTCTCTTCCCGCGTGCAGTGGGCAGCCGGGTCCCATCACGGGGAGCCCATGGAAGGCCATTGTGCAAGCCACACTGCCTGGAGCCCTCTGGCTTCAGCCCCACAAAGGGTGTTGGAGGTCCCTCCGTACCTCCAGGGCTCTGGGAGGAACGACTCACACAGGGGCGCGAGCGTCCCAGGCACTGCCAAGTCTTGCTTTTGTCCCCCAAGCACCCCGACGACGCGTGGGAAGCAGCAGGTGTGGGAACTCTACCCAGTGCTGGGCGCCCAGCCTTGCCCTGTCCATTGCCAGGACTTGGTGAAGGGGCCAGTGGATGGAGTATCTGCCTTTCAAGTAATTAAGACATACAGAAAAGGGCAGGGCATTTTTTTCAAACTATAAAGCTGAGCAAGACCTGACACTTGGGTTCCCTGGGCCACGGGAGGGCGTGAGGGATTGCTGGGGCCCGCGAGAAGTGTCGTCCTGCCTTGTGAACCCCCACCGGCTACCGGGTGGCACGAGCTGTTTTGACGTGATGGCAGAAAGAAGCGCGCATCCAGGGACTTTCTGCTCCTCAGGGAACTTTCCAGTTGGCTTGTTGCTGGATGCCAGCCCCTGTCATGGACGTGTCATCTGTGTAGCTGGGGACACTGCATACCGGTCAACAGGACCAGTAGCAGAGTGGCGCAGCGGATGTGTGCTGGTCCATAACCCAGAGGTTGATGGATCGAAACCATCCTCTGCTAGGTGCTCCTTTACCTGACCAGTCACTCCCCAGCCCCATCCTCGGGCCCTCTCTTGGCCTCACTCCCAGCTTCCCCGCCGTTTTTGGCAGTTATGCTAAAGGCCTGGGGAAGGCCCTCACACAGTACCAGGAGGTGTGGTTCTATGGTGTGAGGGTTAGCGCTATGGACTTTGAATCCAGTGATCTGAGTTCAAATCTCGGTAGAACCTGTTGTGCCTAGTTATCTGTTTGCCCATGGGGTCTCCCAGCACGCTGGGCTCCACCCATACGGTCGAGGTGCCTGTGGCTGCCCTCCACTACCCTGCTGCAATGAGGCCAGCGGGGCACCAGGAGCTGCAGCTTCCCACCTTCCTTCTCTCAACTGGAAGGAGACCCTCCATCTGCTGGTTCTTGCCCCACACGCCTACAGCAGCCAGCTCTGGCGGGGTCTCGAGTGGAGAGTTGGACGATAGGCAAGCAGCCAGGATTCACGCACCCCAAGGGCAGCTTAACCCACGGCAGGAAATAAGCCATGCAACCCCTTCACGGGTGTAGAACCAGCTGCAGGGACGAGCTGGCTGCTGTGTCAGGTGCTACAGTGTCTCCTCCGCATGTCCTTGTGCTCATCCGCTCTGGGTGCCTTCACCACAGCAACACACAGGAGCACAGCCCACCTGGTGCCTGCATGCCAACCAGCATGGCTGCTGGGCCCGGAGGCCCATGTGGCGGCACCTGCGTGCGCCTGCTGTGAGCACCCACCGTCCCAGCCTCAAAGCCAGCACTGGGCTAGGACCTGAAGGTCCCTCAATGGACATGCCCAGGCACACGGCTAAGAGCCTAGCTCTCTGCAACCCCAGTGTCCCACAGGGGGCTAGACACTTGTCTACACTGGCTGAAGTGGTCCAAACTTACAGGCAGGTGGAGACTGACACACATGTGCAGTGTCCAGGCAGCCCCAGCACCCAGGGCGGAGGCGGCCATGAGCAGGACCCCCCGTGACCCTCCTCACTTGCTCCTCAGCAGCAAGTCCACCCACTGAGTCACCAGGCCCAAGTGCTGGCCCCCTCTGACTCCACCCGCCATTAGGGAGAAACCCGGGAAGGCCAGTGCTGTGGGCAAGGGGCTAAGTCAGCACTTGCAACATTGGTTCGTGTCCCAGCTGCTCCACTTCCCATCCAGCTCCCTGCCTGTGGCCTGGGAAAGCAGTGGAGAATAGCCAAGGCCTTGGGACCCTGCACCCACGGGGGAGACCTGGAGGAAGCTCCTGATTGGCTCCGCTCTGGCTACTGCGGTCATTTGGAGAGTGAACCAGCAGATGGACGATGTCTAACAAAGGTTCAAAATGAACCGCAGGCGGGGCTCTTGCCCACAGGGGCTTGTGGTCAACCCCGGAACAGGGGGCGGCTCCCGGGCAAGGTGCCCGGGTCGTCCTGGGCAGTGGCGGCCCCTCCAACTCTCCACACCTGCCCACTCAACTGTTTATTCCACTACTGGTCACCTCAGGTTATAAGAACCACACAGCAGTGCCTTCAGCACACTGTCCCGCCTGCTGCCCGGACAGGCACACCACATGCGTGTGTGCACACACACACACAAACATGATGACCATGGGAGCACACACAGGGGTCGGGGTCGTCACCGCAGCCACGGCTCTGCAGCCATGCGGGCACTGGCTCCTTGCACAGGAGCTTGCAGCATGGCACTGCAGGCTGCAGTTGTGCCACACAGCCGAGGGCAGTGCCAGGCCCCCTCCCACATGCCCCTCCAGGGTGATGGAGTGACCCTGGCAGGCCTCCAGGGAGTGGGGCGGAGACTGTGAGCATGAGGAGCATGAGCACAGTTGCCAGAATTAAGGATTTTGTCCCCCAAACTGCAAGCGGGAAAGACCAAGTGCCAAACCAGGCAAGGAGTAGGGCCAGGGTCTGCTCTTGCCCTGTCCACAGCCAGCAGATGTCAGCCCTGCCTTCCTGCTCAGCCCCAGGCCGATCCGGGGCTGGCTCTCCAGCGTGCTCTTGGTCTCTGCCACGGAGTAGAATCCGAGGGAGCCGGACTGGGGAAGTCCTTCTCTCCACGCATTTCTGCAGATAGCACCGTGTGCCTCGGGGCACGCCCACACGCAGCAGTAGCAGGACTTGGAACCAGGGCTCTGTGGGTGGTCCAAGCACCCCGTACTGCGGCCTCTTCACCACTTGATGTCCAGGCCATCCGTGTGGCCACTGGGGCTCAGGAAGGAGGTGTGCAGTGTCTGCTGCGCCTTTGGGGAGTCGCTCCCATCCAGCCACTCCTGGTACAGTGCCTGCATAGGCCTGCTGGCTTCTGTGGGGCGCACGGGGAGGCCCGGGGACATGCCTTCCATCTGCCGCAGCAGGGCCTTGTCCGCCTGGCCATCCTCGCTGTAGGCTTGGCCTCGGCCGTTCAAGCACCCTGAAAGACACACAGGAGCCCCGCTGCAGAAGGAAGCACGTCAGGTGGGGCCCGAGCCACCCGACCTCTGGCGGCCCGTACACAGCATTTCCAGTTCCTCCTGTCAGCTGCGGCAAGGAGCCGGCCCTGCTGGCCATGTGTGAGCCAGTGGGTGCCATCTGAGCACTCGCTCAGAAGCAGGGACTGGGGTCATACCAGCACCTATAGTGCTGGCACCCCCTGTGGGCAGTTGTCTGAATCCTGGCTGCTCCACTTCCCATCCAGCTCTCTGCTGGTGGCCTGGGAAAGCAGTCGAGGACGGCCCAAAGCCTTGGGACCCTGCACCCGCGAGAGATACCCAGAAGAAGCTCCAGGCTCCTGGCTTCGGATCAGCTCAGCTCCAGCTGTAGCAGCCACTTGCGGAGTGAACCAGAGGATGTTAAAGCCCCCTCTGTGTATTCTGCTCTTGATATAAGTAAATCAAACTTGTTTGTTTTCTTAAAGAATTAGGACGATGTGGGACCTGCCCTCAACACCCCTGGCACACCCTGTGGGGGCTTCCTCGGCCCCACAAAGTATCCCTGCCTTAGCTTCCTGCACTCCTGGGTGCCACCCCTCCTCAGGAAGACCCTTCAGCTCACAGGACCAGGTGATAAGGTGGGACCTCGTCCCCTTCCTCTCCACCTGATGCTGGGGGCCCGACACACCAGACACGCTCACTGGGCTGCTCATTTCACCCTCACTTGGAGCAGCAAAGACCCCAGCTGCCCCCCAACCGAGCCAGCTCCATCACCACCCAGGCACAGACCAGGACCCCGTGGGTCAGGGCTCCCCCTTTCTGACCACCCACATCTGCTCACCGGCAAGCCCTGTCCCAACCTCAGCCTACGACGGGCACCCACGCCATAGGGGACTCCAGCCTTGGTCCCACCCCATCGTCTCAGCTCGCAGGTGGATGGTGTCCTTGCATCAGCAGCACAGGAGTGGGCCATCAACTGCTCCTCACGTGACAGAGGTGTGATGGGCCAGAGAGAACTGGTGGAGCCAGGGGCATCGCGTCCAGGGCAGTGTCACAGCAGGCCCGTGCCCACTCACCTCGGGGACACGCCAGCACCTCCACAAAGTGGTAGGGGAACCGGCCCTTCCGGAGCTTCAGGACCATGTTCTGGATGTTTCTGAAGCCGTAGGCGGCCGCGAAGCGCAGCAGCACCTCCCCGTTCCTCTCCAGTGTGACCTCTCGGAAGTCTCGGTTTCTGGGAGACGAACAAAGTGGACCTGGGCCACCAGCCCTCCGACCACCCAACGGGGGCTTCCCTGGGTGCCCTGCCCCCAGTGCTCACACCTGAGGGCGCGGTAGGTGACCTCCTCCACGTGTTCACCGAACAGCTCCTTGGCTGCATGTCTGAAGACATGTGCCAGGTACCCGTCGGAGCCGGCTCCGTCATGGCACCTCACGGCCTCCGCCTCACAGTGCCCAAACCTCACAAGCAGAAAAAAGACAACTCCTTCAGAGTGCTGGAGGGAACCCAGCTCCCCAGCACAGGGCCTGTTGAGACCCCCGCTCTCTTCTGCCACCGAGGTACATGTGTCCCTGGGGCTCATGGCCACCAGGGGACCCGCACCGGTGGCCTCTGCAGGGCACCTTGTCCTCCCCACCCAGTGTCCAGCTGGAGCTGTGCTATGGCCATGTCACAGTGGTGGCTCGGGTGCAGGTGCCCCGACCCTGCCCAGAGGCCACTTACAGAGTGTCCACTGCGGCATCCGTCACGGAGAGGTCACTTTGCTCCATTATCTGCGCAATCTCGCCTGTAGACAAACACGTGTGAGACACTGCAAGGAACGTGTGGCTACAAAGCCTGGACAGCAGGGCCCGCTGGGCAAAGCAAGGGTTGGGCGAGACAGAGCACAACGGGGGGTGCTTCTTTATGCCCTGAGCTGGGATACGCAAAGGGTCTCTCCAGCAACGTGTCTGCTGCCGGAAGAACTCCTGTGCGTCAGCTCTCGTGGGCGGGTGAGCAGGTGCACACTGGCTGAGGACAGCGCTGCAGCCAGCCAGCCGAGGCTGAGAAGTGCAGTGCGAGAGAGAGCAAGAGAAACTTCAGTCCTTGGGTTCACTCCCCAAATGCCCCAACAGCTGGGGCTAGGCCAGGTCCAACAGGACCCCAGAAATCCCTCGGGGTCTCCCACGTGCTTGAGCCATCCACACTGGACTGCAAGAGGAGCTGGGATTCCAGCCAGGGGATAGACAGAAAAATGCTGGCAGAAAAAGTGCCCTGGGGCCAGCGTAGTGTGTGTGTGTGTGTGTTTAATCAGAAAGAGCAGATTTACAGAGAAAAGGAGAAAAAGTTCTTCCACTGGCTGGTTCACTCCCCACGTGGCCACAACGGCCAGAGCTGCGCCAATCTGAAGCCAGGAGCCAGGAGCGCCTTCCGGGTCTCCTGCAGAAGGACATTATGACCCTGGAAGGTCAGCGAGCACAGGATTCCAGTTGATTGGATAATTTTGCATGAGAACAACGGAATGGATGCCTTTAGTATACCTGACTGGACAGCATGTGTATGAGGACACTTGGTGGAATAAACAAGAGTTCCAAACGAAAGTATGGAAACAGTTGATGGTTTGTTGATCAGCTCAATACCTCCACCCGTATCCCATAGGACCCTCAGTGTATAAAGTCTGATGCCACCATCAGAGTCCACGCATGTTATTATTGGCTCTGTGCACCAAGTCCATTGCTGTGGGACAGTCTCCCATGCAGGTGCAGGGTCCCGAGGACTTGGCCATCCTTTGCTGTTTTCCTAGGCCACCAGCAGGGAGCTGGATGGGAAGTGGAGCAGCCGGGACATGAACCAGTGCCCATACGGGGTCCTGGTGCATGCAAGGTGAGGATTAAGCCAGTGAGCCATAGCACTGAGCCCCAAAATAAAAATAAATCTTTAAAAAACACAAGTGTGGCACAGCTCATTAAGCCACCACGTGCAAAGCCAGCATCTCACCCTGTGGTGCCCATTTGTTCCTGGGTACCCCATCTTAGACCTAACTCCACGCTGATGTGCCAGGGGAGGCAGTGGAAGACGGCCCGAGTGCTCAGGCTCTTGCTGCCCACGGCAGGACAAGCAGTTGGAGTTCTTGTGGTTCCACCTGGTTGTGGCCTAGGCCAGGCCCAGCTGTCGCAGTCACTTGGGGATCGGCCAGGGGATGACAACGCTCGCTGACTGGGCGTCCTTAGCTGCCCGGCTAGACCCCAAGCCCTCTTCCCATTCCTCCTGTTCTGTGGCCCGTAGACCTTGTTGACAGGGTCCCCCTGTCAGATTCTGGGACCTGAGCTTCATGAAAGGCCCCTGCCCTCCAGGCTTCTCTCCAGCCTCCTTCAAGTCCAAGTACTGCAGGGCCTGTTTTCAGACTACAGCGGAGCTGCCAGATGTTAACCAGCGGAAGTCTCCGTAGGCTGGCCCTGGCATCTTCTAAACGGGCTCCTATGCTCTGCCGAGCCCCGGTGCCAGCAGGATGCAGGGCTCAGCCATGTCACACAGCAGTGTCCAGGCTCGCAGGCTGTGCCGGGTGCACTTGTCATCTGTAAGGACCCCACGCCGTGGACCTCGTGAGCTGCCCCACCTAGGGGAGCAGGCTGACTGGAAGTGGGGCCTAATGTAACCCTGCCCCCCAGCTTCAGGCGACGGGACCCCAGGGGCGATGAGAACCAGCACTGCCTGGCCCCACGTTCCTCACCTGACGTTAACACACAGTCCACACCGCGGCAACCAGGCGTGGCGGCAGGAGGAACTTCTTGCAGCGCTTCCAGCTTCTTGTCATAGCAGGGGGCCACAATGACGTGGAAAATCTTCTCTGGAGACAGGTTCTAGGGGCAAGGGAGAAACACTGTGTCCAGGGCAAGTGTCCACCCTGGCTCTGCCCTGGCTTCCCTCCAGAGGAGGCGCTCAAAGTCTGCCCCAGTGGAGCTGGATTCAAGGAACCCACAGGCCCAGCAGCCTGGGCAGCTGGCTGCAGCGAGCAGGAGAGCTGGGCTGTCCGAGCCTGCCACCCAGTGTGCCCCTCGCTTACCAGGCGGTTTGGCCATCTCTGTCCTGGGGCCTTGCCACATGGACTGTGGGCCAACGGTGGAGCCAGAACTGGCAGCAAAGCCAGGTGCCAGCAGATCCTCTGTGGGAAGGCCCCTTGCCTGCTGGCAGCCCACCTGGTGGCCACTCTCGCAGGCCGGGTTTCTGAGGCCCAGCTGTCCCTCACCAGAACCGGCAGGAGGGCAGGGCTGCAGGCTAGCAGGTCCGAGAGACTCCAGACAGCTAAAACCTCCCCGACACTGATAGCAGAGCGCACAGGCCCGACAAGTTGGCACCAAGGGAGCGGCCCTTCCGCTGAAGGGACCAGGCACACGAGGCGGCCTCAGGCTGCCTGACGGGGCTGTCCCAGGAGGCACAGGGGCCGTGCGTGGGCACTGCAGGCAGCCCCGGAGTTGGCAAGGGCCAAGGAGGGCTGAGGCGGGGCACTTGGACCCGATGGGCCTGGTCCCCTCGCACGGAGTGCAGAGCCTCAGGGAAGCAGCTGAGGAGTCACATGAGACCCATGTTCTAGAAGGCCAGGGCATAACCCTGGAGAGGCCTCCCCCACCCTCTCCCGGGCCACCTGCACAGCCCTGCAGGCCTTACCTTCTGTCTGGCAAAGTAGTCCTTCACCAGGGAACCCATGACCTGCTGGGGAGACTTGGCAGTGCAGAGGTGGGGTGTGACAGGGTGGCCCAGCACCCGCTCGGCGTACCGGACCCAGCCTGGAGAGAGGAGGCCCCGGGCAAGGGTGAGCACACCGGAAGCTGGGCTCCCCGCTGCCCTGGCCCCTCCTGTGACCACAGGGCAGCTAGCACCTGGAGGCTTAGGTCCACTCAGGGTCCGCCGCATTGTCTCCTTCACGAGCCAGGCAGGGGTTGGGTGAGAGGTCCTGTCAGGCCCCCCGAGGACTTAATGGACAGAAGGCACGGGGCCACAGCCCCCACAGAGGGCAGAGAGAGCGCCCAGCAAGATGGCCTACTGGCTAAAGCCTCCCCTTGCATCCGCTGGGATCCCATATGGATGCCGGTTCTAATCCTGATGGCTCCACTTCCCATCCAGCTCCCTGCTCGTGGCCTGGGAAAGCAGTCGAGGACGGCCCAAAGCTTTGGGACCCTGCACCCTCATGGGAGTCCTGGAGGAGGCAAAGCTTTGGGACCCTGCACCCTCATGGGAGTCCTGGAGGAGGCTCCTGGCTCCTGGCTTCAGATCAGCTCAGCTCCGGCTGTTGTGGCCACTTGGGGAGTGAATCAGTGGATGGAAGATCTTCCTGTCTCCTCCTCTCCATAAATCTGACTTTCCAATACAAGGAAAATAAAAAAGGGAAGGGTAAAGAGAAAGGAGCCTGCGCCCAGCGCCACAGCCTGCAGCCACTGACTCACAGGCACACGGGGCCTTCGCAACTTCCCGAAGACGCACATTATGCACAAATTACCCAAGTCTCTGTTTGTTTTTTCTTAAGATTTATTTTACTTTTATGGGAAAGGCGTATATACAGAAAGGAGGAGACAGAGAAGACCTCCCATCCGATGATTCACTCCCCAAGTGGCCACAATGGCTGGAACTGTGCCAATCCAAGGCCAGGAGCCAGGAGCTTCCTCCAGGTCTCCCATGCGGGTGCAGGGTCCCAATGCTTTGGGCCGTCCTCGACTGCTTTCCCAGGCCACGGGCAGGGAGCTGGATGGGAAGCTGGGCCGCCGGGATTAGAACCAGTGCCCAAATGGGATCCCGGCGCATGCAAGGCAAGGACTTTAACCACTAAGCTATCATGCTGGGCCCTCAATTTGTTTTGGAAAAGTTTATCTTTTAATTCCATTTTCTCATGAAATTTTCTTCAGTTATTTATTTGAAAGACGGAGTTACAGAGAGTGAGACAGAGAGAGCAATTTCCCTTCTGCTGGTTCACTCCCCAGATGGCCACAAGGGACAGAGCTGGCAGGAGCCATCCCCTCCACCCTTCCCTTGCACCTGAGCAGGGAGTCGCATCAGAAGCAGAGCCCACATGGGGTGCCGGCATTCCAGGCAGCAGCTTTACCCACAGTGCTGCCTCACGGAGCTTCCCACACCTTCCTGACACTGGGCCCGGCTGTGGCCACCTGACGCCTGCATGTCTCCCACGGGCTCCTTCCTTGTCACTCCCTGTGTCTCCCACGGCTCCCTCACTGGCCATCACTGCTGCCATGGCTCTCACCTCCTCTGCTGCGGTCAGTGGGGTGTGGAGGAAAGGAGGCAGTTCTGACAAAGCCTGCTGACACTCACACACACACTTATGCACTCAAGAGCATCCTGGCTCTCGGGCCACTGCAGAGGCTCGGGGACTAGCACCCCTCCCTGCTACTCCCAGCAGGCAAGGTCTCCTAGGGAATACAGGGAGTCAGGCCTCTTAGATGGAAGAATCGATTCCTCTGGCCACAGCAATGGGCCCTCATCCCAATTCCGTCATTCCAGAGCCCTGGCCACAGGCACAGTTACTCCTTTTGAAAATAAAACATGCCTTAAAACACAGCGTCTGAGCTGGGTCCTTATGCCTCCCGCTAACCCTCATCCTGCTTCCTGGGGCACACCGGGGCATACCTGGGCACACTGGGGCACAGCAAGGCACACCAGCCACTCGCTGCAGTGCACTGGGACGACCTCATCCCGTTTCCTGGGGCACACCAGGGCACACCTGGGGCACACCGGCCAATCGCTGTGGTGCACCGGGACAACAGCTCTGTGGGCCTTGAGCACAGTGGCAGGGCAAGGGGCACCTGCAGTGGGTAGATGAGGCCAGCAGGCAGCAGGCCAGCCTCACAGCTGCAGGACATGCATAGCAGCAAACTACAACCCTGGGAGCCCCACCTGCCAGCAGAGCGCGGGCAGCCATGGAGGTGGCACCCTCTCCTGCCACGGTCCCCCCCACCTGCCAGCAGAGCGCGGGCAGCCATGGAGGTGGCACCCTCTTCTGCCACAGCCCCCCCCCCACCTGCCAGCAGAGCGTGGGCAGCCATGGAGGTGGCACCCTCTCCTGCCCCGGTTCCCCCCTCCTCGAGCACTAATACCAGGCCAGGGCTGTTAGCAGATAAGCCAGCTCCTTGAACCATTTTCTCTGGATGGGTGCTCAGCAGCTGGCATCCACATGCTGATCCTGAACCCTGCCTCCACGACGGAATGATGACAAGTGCTAACATAAATAATGCGGGAAAATTTCAAAATCCCAGAACTTCTGTAGCTTACTACTGGCCTAAGCCAGGCGGCCGTCCCTGCTTCCCTCACGTGCCTCTGCTAATGCTCTCCTACTCTCAACTTGCCATCTTGCCAGGGTGGAAAAACGGAACGTCTCCTATAATAGGACAAACTGAAGAATGCTGGGGGTGTGGGCTGGGAGCCCCCCAGGGGCACAGGACCCTGGCCGCCCCCTGGGCCCGAGGCGACACACAGATGGAGGAGCACTGCGACACACAGAGGGAGGAGCACTGGGCCAACACCTGTCCCACGCATCACACTGCGGTCTGGTTGAAGCGTCCCAGCACTTAGCTGAGATATATCATGCTTTCAAGAGAAGGTGGGCTTTCCTTAAGAAAGTGACTGTTCACTCAGAGCCGTTACAGAGGCAGGCTGAGCTCGGGCCAAGGCAGCTGGGTCACCCACACCCCCCTCGCCCCACCGACACGCAGCAGGCGCTCACCGGGACAGGCAGAGGTCAGCATGGGCAGGGCACATCCGTCCTGGCTGTGCTGCTGGTACCGACGCACAAACTCCTTCTGGCTCTCCAGGATGCTCAAGTCCGCAGCTATGGCCGTGTCGAACACGTAGTGCACCCCTGCAGGGAAGGCAGGCTCGCTCAGTGGCCCCGTGCCTGGTACCTTCCCTCCTCACCCCTGCAGGGGAGACAGGCTTGCCCAGCGGCCCCGTGCCCAGTACCGTCCCTCCTCTAGAAGCTAAGAGACAGTCACCGTGGTGCAGTGGGTTAGGCTGCCATCTGCAATGCAGACATCCCACAAGAGCGCCAGTTCCAATTTCAGCTGCTCCATTTCTGGTTCAGGTCCTTGCCAATGTGCTGGGGACAGCAGCTGGGGACAGCGCCAGCGCCTGGGCCTGCGCCCACAAGGAAGACCCTAACTCCTGGCTTCGGCTGAGCCCGGTGATGGCCGTGAACTCACCAGGAGAGCGACGCTCCTTGGAGCTGGTGTTGTGGCACGATGAACTGCTTCCCACACGCATGCCAGCGCACTGGGAAGCAGAGGGGGACCGTCCACGTGTCGGGGCTGGCCACCCTGTGGGAGACCTGGAAGATGCTCCCGGCCTGGCCCGGCCATCGGCCATCTGGGGGTGAACTAGCAGACAAGCGCTCCTCTTTGTCTCTCTCATTATCTCTATAATTGTGTCGATAAATTAAAAAAACAAACAAACAAGACCAACCAATCAACTAGACAACTCTATACTACTGAGGGTTCAAAAATAATGGAAACTGGAATTAAAAGTTAACTTTATTCTGGTGCAAAATATTTTAAGCCCATGATTATAAGGGGTCTTCAAAAAAGTTCATGGAATGTTTAGTATCAACAATTTTGTACCAAATTAATATTTTCTCATTTTTCTTTGAAAGGAGCAGAGATGAGAGCAGCCTGCTGCAAGGGCTTCCGTAAGGCACCGCAGCAGGGAAATGCAACGTGGGGTCCTGGCGGCGTTGACGTGTTGAGCGCAGCAGACAGCTGGGCAGCCCCTTTACCATGGCTTCAATAATAATAATAAAAAGTTTAATGACTTCCATCTATTCGAAAGGCAGACCAAGGGACAGAGTGGAGAGGGGGAAAGTGACACCTCTCTCCTTGCCTCCCACCCCGTCTCTCCCTCACAAGAGGATCTCCCACAAACCCCTGAAATAACTAATGCTCGGCCAAGCCAGCGCCAGGAGCCAAGAACACCACCTGCCACGTGGGTGCAGGCTCTGCTGCCTCCCCAGACATGTTAGCAGGGAGCTGGGTGGGAACCCAGGCACAGCACCCAGGCTCACCCAGCTGGGTGTCCTAGAGAGGACACCGGCACTGCACGCAGCAGCCTAACCCACTATGCCACAGCACCAGCCCCCAAATGTAATCTTCTTAATATTGGCAAATAAACCTGAAATGAAATAATGTCCGTTCAGTAAGTATAATGAATTAAGCAAATACCCTTAAAATCCATAGCTGTTGCAAATCTTTAAACAGTCAGTCGCACCACAAACATGCCTTGGGAATACACATTGCTATTCCTGGCGCCCAGGGGGCCTAGTTCCAGGACGCTAATACCTCCACATGCTTCCGTGGCCTGCGTGAACAGCCTGGCACCTGCGCATCGCTCACGAAGCTAGCCTCGCACACTCAGAACCGGCCCTGGGGCTCGAGACATGACACCACGCCACAGGAACAGCTGGAGAGCTCCGGTCTGCGGAGTTGAACCCACAGGTACACAAAGCAGACGTCACGGTCCACAGCAGACTGGGGCGACACTACAGCCTCCAGCCACCCTGGTCCCTGGCTCCAGGCTGCCACACTTGCTCCGTTTAACAGACACTCAGAGAGCTGTATGATGGTTCTGACAGCCAACTCTCCCATCGCCTGGAGCAGGCCATCCGGGGCAGCAGCCGGGGTCGGCCCAGCTCCCTCACCTCGGGAGCAGCAGCCGGGGGTCAGCCCAGCTCCCCCACAGTTGCCCTGCCTCCCAGGGACCCACTGACCGGAAGCTGGAGCCAGCTGCCACAGCCAGGACTGCACCAGCTGTGCCAATAGGCACCTTAACCACCAGGCCAGCATGACTGAGCGACGGACGAGTTCGTGCCGAGCAGCGCAGCCCCAAGGCGGAGCTGCAGACCACTGGCTCCCAAGGGGAGAAGCAGGACTCAGAGCCAGGCCTAATGCGTGCCAGCAGCTCCCTGCTCTCTCAGGGTCAGCCTTCAGCCTGCTTCCTCTCCAGAAGCCAGACGCCTGCGTCTGAGGGCGGCTGCTGGCGGCAACACGAGGCTGCCCTGGGAGTGCCCTGCTCCTCTGCCCTGCCCTGGTGGCCTGCAGGGAGCTGCCCGAGGCGTCCCAGGGGCCAGCCCCTGTGCCAGCGAGCACCTGTGTGCCTGCAGCAGAGCTGGCGACACCACCCGCACTGAGCCCAGGAGAGCTCCACGGCCTGTAGGAAGGACCTTTCTGTCCCCTGAGACTCTGCAAGCTTCCCAAGGCTCCTGCCCTGAGACCTGAACGTCAGGGACTAGAAGCTCAAGTTGGCGATCCACAGAGATCAAGAGGTTCACGCACCGAGACTTTTGAGGAAGCCGCAGAGCCTTCTGGATGCGTCCTGTACACTGAGGTTGAACTTGGCAGCAAAGAAAGGCAAAGACTGAGGGCACACGGACACCGCCAGCACCTTATGCTTCGACACGTCACACTTCTAGGAGAGACACACTGCTGTCACTGTGGGCGGCTCACCCAGCACCCAGGCCCGCCCAGGCCCAGCCAGGCACAGCACCCAGGCCCAGCCAGGCCCAGCACCCAGGCCCAGTCAGGCACAGTATCAAGGCCTACCCAGGCACAGCACCCAGGTTCACCTAGGCTCAGCATCCAGGCTCACCCAGACCCAGCACCCAGGCTCATCCAGGCCCATCCAGGCCCAGCCAGGCCCACCCAGGCCCAACCAGGCACAGTACCCAGGCCCAGCCAGGCATAGCACCCAGATTCACCTAGGCTCAGCACCCAGGCTCACCCAGGCACAGCACCCAGGCCCACCCAGACACAGTACCCAGGCTCACCCAGGCTCAGCACCCAGGCCCACGCAGGTTCACCTAGGCTCAGTATGCAGGCCCACTCAGGCTCAGCACCCAGGCTCACCCAGGCACAGCACCCAGGCTCACCCAGGCTCAGCACCCAGACTCCCTATCCCACACAGAGAGCGAAAGGACAAACACCAGCAAGCACGAGGAAGAGGGGAAGAAACGTCACGGCTCATACGTGTGACACACAGTCAGCCTTACTTCACATGTTTGACACACGGGGCAGCCCTTGGTTCACATGTATGACACACAGGGCAGCCCTTGGTTCACAGTATGGCACACGGGGCAGCCCTTAGTTCACAGTATGACACACGGGGCGGCCCTTAGTTCACATGTATGACACACGGGGTGACCCTTAGTTCACATGTATGACACACGGGGCAGCCCTTGGTTCACATGTATGACACACGGGGCGGCCCTTGGTTCACAGTATGACACACGGGGCAGCCTTGCAGCTGTGTGGCTTAGGCCACTACGACGGACACGGGCACCACAGCAGAGCACCTGGGACACAGATGACGGTCTAAGTCCTGGGGCTCCGACCACCTACAGGGGAGACCTGGACAGAATTTCTGGCTCCTGGCTTTGGACTGGCCTGGCCCTGGCTAATGCGGCTATTAGTAAACGGAAGATCCATCTCTCTAACTCTTCCTTTAAAAGAGAAAAATGAATCTGTAAAATGTTTTTGAAAGTAACAGCAGCGTGCGTGTCCATCAGAGGACACGGTGGACACACATTTCACAGGCCGGCATCGTAGCACTGCCCGAAACGCAGGCCCCTCAGATGGACAGCTCCCGGTTCCTGCCAGGGAGCCAGTGGATGGAAGAACTCGGTCTCTATTCTACCTCTGCCCTTCAAGTAAATTAACAGATCCCTTTAAAGACCACACCCTCTGCCTCGCCTGCTCCAGGGCCATCCCAAGGGCATCCCAGGCATCCAGGACGGGTGCTTGGGGTTAGACACCTGACTTCCCTGGCAGAGGTTCCGCCCAGGCCACAGGAGCACGCTGCATGTGCTGGTCACCACCGCCACTGCCCGGGAGCCAGGCAGGAGTGTGACTGGGGACGGAGGGACACAGGGAGGCCCGTGCAGCAACCTCCTTGCCTTACATGCCCAGACACCATACCTTGTTCAGGTTCACCACCCGCAGGAAGTCTGCGGCGTTCTGCTGGGAGAGCTGGACCCCCTCCTCCGCAGTCACACAGCTGTCGCATGCCAGGCAGTCACTCAAGAAAATCTTGGCGTCAGCCAGTCTGTGGAATTCTCCCTTCTGCAAAGAACAGTGAGGTGTTATCCTGGCTCCTTCGGGGAGGGCAGCTGCACAAGCTGGTGCCCCCACGACCACGGTGGGGCCAGAGGGGAGCAGCGCCTGCTCCACTAGGCAGAGGGCTCCAGTGCACGGCTGCCACACACAGCACTGGGGCTGCACCTGCCGCCTGCCCCGGCCCGCCGCCGGGTCTCGCACCACTCCTCCAGGTCTGCACACCCCAGGGCAGCCAGCAGCCCCACGGTCCTGGGGAGGCCCACAGTCCTGGCCCCCTGCCGGGCTGCTCTTCGGGAGACGTCGCCCATCGTAAAGCAGCCCCCACTCTGCTCTGCCGGGAGGTCCACCTGGCCCTGGGACATCCTGTCCCTGTCACAGCATGTCCTCGTCCTCCGGGAAGCCTCGCTCCAAGAGGCCCTTGCCTGGGAGCCTGGCACCTGCCACACACACCACTGGCCACCTTGTAGGGCTTCCCAGCGCATCCCTCCTGGGAACACACTTGGGGTTGGCTGTGGGTGAACTTGCAGCTCACGGGAGTCAAGGCCTAAGGCTCCGTGACCGACAGTGGTGCTCTCTGGGAAACTGGGCAGGAGCCAGGGTGGGTGCCCTGTCCCTCCAGAGCCACCCCGGACGGGAGCTGCACCCCACAGGCCCTCAGCCCGGGTCTGCTGGGGCTGAGCACCCCTGCAGGCCTCCCACGTTTCTCAGGAGCCTCTGCCCGTCCACCTGTGACCTCCACCCCAGCCAGCTCTGCCCCCAGCTTTACAACATGTTTCCAGCCCCAAAACGCGCCGGAAGCGTTCCCCTTGCCCAACGGGTCTTCCCAGCCTCCCACTGCAACCAGCCTGGGCAAGGGGCAGCTGCTTCCAGCCACACACCTGCCCACCCTCCCCGCGTGGGTTATCCACACCCCACTCTGAGCCCCGACCACCCGGGCACCGCACACCTGTCCACCCTCCCCGCGTGGGCCATCCACACCTCACTCGGAGCCCTGCCCCGTGCCTGGCCGTGCACCTGTCACCCGGCCCCACCCGTGTCCCTGCCCCGCTATCTCGCCCGCACAGGGCGCTGGGCGGCCCAAGGTGACACCCGCCCGGCATGGCGCAGGGCAGCTGGCAGGCCTCGGGCTCCCCCACTCACCTCCCCCGCCGGCCGCGCGGGGCCCGGGCTTGCCGCGCTCACATTCTCCGGGTCTTCCGTTTTAGACTTTTTGCTACATTCCTAGGAATGGCCAAGAGCAAAGAGCCATCATTCCCGCACCCCGCAGCCCAGCCCTGCGCTCCGCTCATTCCTCAGGGTCAGGGGTTCGAGCCCTCCACTCCCGTCAGGGTCAGGGGTTCGAGTCCTCCCTTCTCCCCCCTCACAGTCGGGGGTTCGCGCCCTCCACTCCCCTCAGGGTCCGGGGGACAGCCGGGAGGGACGCCACCCCGGGGCCTGCCGCCCACCTTGCGCGTGCAGTGCTCGCACTTCATCTGGAGCGGGCGTGACAGGGCCGGGCCTTGGGCGAGGGGAGCGCCCGGACGCGGGACCGGACCTCGGGCCGAGCTGCGAGCAGGACTGGCCCTCGGGGTGCGCCTGCGGCCGCCCGACAGGACACCGAGCCCTTTGTGGTGCTCGCCCGGCGGGCCCGCCCCCTACGGCGTCCAGCCAATGAGAGCGCCCAGACGGGCCGAGCCGCACGCTGGGCCAGTAGGAGCGCGCAGAGCGCCCAGGCCCCGCCCCGCGCGGCCCGCTCTCGGCCAATGAGGGAGGCGGGCCCGCCCCGGAGCGCACGCCGGCCTCTTCCCGCGGGGCTGCTGCTCAGCACCGGGCGGCCAAGGTGACACCGCCCGGGGCGGACGGGCGGGCGGCGGTGGCCGGGCACGGGCGGGGTGCCCGCTCCTGGGCGCGCGGGCCCCCGTACCGGGCACGGACCTCCCGCCGCGTTCGCGCCTCCCCGCCCCTCCCCGCCGCCATGGCCGTCAGGCAGCGCGTCACGTAGCCGGCCGGCGACAGTGCGCGTGCGCTGCGATCGCCCCGTGGGCACGTGCTCGTGCCGGACAGCTCGAGGCCGCGGGGCCTGAGGGGTCAGCTGGGTCAGCACGGGGTCAGCCTGAGGGTCAGCGTGGGGTCTGCTGGGTCAGCGCGGGGTCCACTGGGTCAGCCTGAGGGTCAGTACGGGGTCTGCTGGGTTAGCCTGGGGGTCAGCCTGAGGGTCAGGGAGCCGGGTCTGCATCAGGTACAGGGTGCTGAGGCCTTGGGTCCTGCTGCACTGCCTTCCCAGGGCACGCAGGGAGCTGGGCGGGAAGTGGAGCAGCTGGGAACTGAACTCACGCCCCGTGCAATCCTGGTGTCTGCAAGGCGAGGATTTAGCCACGGAGTGAACCATCGCACCAGGCACAGTACGTGGCGTTTTAAAAACATAATTGCAATATCTCATGGAATATCCAGCGAGCACATTTCCCAAATTTTCTTGTAGTTTTCACTGTGAGTTTAAATCAGAGTGGTATGTCCTGCCAGACCATATTGAAATTGGTTGGGATGTTTAAGTTTTTTTCTGTTGAAAGTAAACTCAGAGCAGACGTTGGGCCTGGCAGGTAAAAGGCAGGCATGAGCCGGTGCGGGTGCCTGCTCGCTTTTGGTCCAGCTCCCTGCTGATGCCCTGGCAGAGCCGTGGAGACTGGCCCGAGGGTCGGCTCGTGCCCACAGCAGCAAGACCCCAGGCTGCAGCCCCCGAGGTCTTTGTGTCTGAGTGGCCTGTACACCCAGCACTCGCCTCGGGCACCGGGCACCGTCAGCGGCACCTTTTCCAGCTCAGCGGGAACGCTTCCGCCATGAGAACTTCCCAGCCTTGCTCAGTCTGCAGGGCCGGCCCGGGCTGGGCTTCCCCACCAGGCTGAGCAGCATTGCCGCTGTGCCGTGGGCTGGCGCTGCATGGCCCGGACTTGCCAGCTCAAAGACCCTCCCGCAGGACTCGCCTTCTTTTTTTTTTTTAATTTACTTATTCCTATTGAGAAGTCATATCTACAGAGAGGAGAGACAGAGAGGAAGATCTTCTGTCCACTGGTCCACTCCCCAAGTGGCCGCAAAGGTCGGAGCTGAGCCTGACCCGTGCCAGGAGCCAGGAGCCCCGAGCAGGTCTGGTGGGAGCTGAGCCTGACCCGTGCCAGGAGCCCCGAGCCCCGAGCAGGTCTGGTGGGAGCTGAGCCTGACCCGTGCCAGGAGCCCCGAGCCCCGAGCAGGTCTGGTGGGAGCTGAGCCTGACCCGTGCCAGGAGCCCCGAGCCCCGAGCAGGTCTGGTGGGCACCCGCTGTTTCCTCCCGGGCCACGCTGGACCGCGAGCAGCAGCTGGACTGGAAACGCTCACGCGCACCTCTCCCGCTGCATGTGAGAGCTGCATGGCGGCAAGGCCGCGAGTGGCCCCCATGTGTCTGTGAGCAAGTGCGGCTCTCCTGCCTGGGTCTGTGAGCAGGTATACCTGCTGCAGTAACAACCCAGAAAGTGACACCCCTCAGCTTCCAGATGCACCCCAAAATCACAGACGCCCCAGCTGCAGGAGGGGTCCCCGCCAAGCCCTTCCGCCCACAGGGGCTCCCTCAGCTTCCAGATGCACCTCCAATTCACAGACGCCCCGGGAGCGGCCCCCGCCAAGGCCTCCCACGCCTCACGGGGGACTCCGTGCACGCCCCGCGCCCCGCCCCGCGCCCGGAAGTCTGTGCGCCCCGCCCCGCACCCGGAAGTCCGCGCGCTCCGCCCCGTCGCCCGGCGGGTTCGCGCCCCGGGATCGCGGCAGGCGGCGGGGCGGCGGGCGCGTCCAGCAGCTTCCCCCTCAGGTGGGCGCTCACCCCCGGCTGCGGCCGAGCCGGGCACCAGGGCCGAGCTTGCACAAGTTGGGGCGGCCCGAGGCGTAGCAGGGCGCCCTGAGCGCGGCGGGCACCGGCCGACTCCCATCCCTGCCCCCAGGCCCAGCCCGCCGCCGCCACTCTCACTTCCCATCTTGGTCGGGTTCTGGTCCTTCCGGGGTGGGGAGGGGTGCAGCAGCGTCCAGGCTGGGCGGGTCACCTGGGGCATCTTGGGGGGGAGGGAGCACCCCTGGAGGCTGACAGGTGCGGGTGCGCGGTGCCGGGGGTGGGGGCACAGGAGGCTGACACGGGCATGGGGCACTCTGGAGTCTGACAAGTGGGGGTGCATGGTGATGGGGTGGGGGTACAGGAGGCTCACAGGCCGGGGTGCATGATGACGGGGTGGGGGGCACGGTGCCAGGGGTGAGGGGCACCCCAGAGAGTGACCGCCAGGGTGCATGGAGGGCCCACCCAGCTTGATGTGGGGTGCTATGTTTTTCTTCCAGCCGCTCCAGCCTCGCGCACGCTCCGGGGATGTACATGCAGGTGGAGACCCGCACCCGCTCTCGCCTCCACCTCAAGAGGGCCCCGGGCCTGCGCTCCTGGTCGCTGCTGGTCGGTAAGGCTGAGGTGGCTGAGCCAGACAAAGTGCTGCCCGCGGGGCTGGGGCCCTGCCTGAGTACCCTCCAGCATGTACCTTGAGGCATGGACCCTGCACTGGGCAGTTGGGGCATGGGGCATCTGGTTCCTCCTGCACTCCTGTCCCTCACTGCTCTGGGGAGAGTCCTGCATGCCGCCTGATGCAGGCACCCTGTCGTGGCCACTCTCTGTTGGCCCTGCCCAGGGGAGGAGTCCTGGGGGTCTCGCCCACTCTGTTGGCCGTGCCCAGGGGAGGGTCCTGGGGGCCTGTCTTGCCCAATGACCTGGCTATGGGGTTGTGGTCCCTCCCCACGTGCCGCTGGGGTCACCACACGTGGTTCTGACAGCCCTGGGGGTGCGCAGTGCGTGCTGTGCCATCCCGTCAGGACAGGCCTCCCGCTCTCCGCAGGGATCCTCTCCATCGGCCTGGCCGCGGCTTACTACAGTGCAGGTAAGGGCACCTCCCCCCCATGGCCCGCTGCCTTTCCGGGCCTGCCCCTCACCGGTGCCTCCTCTCCACAGACAGCCTGGGCTGGAAGCTCTTCTACGTGTCGGGCTGCCTGCTAGTGGCCGTGCAGAACCTGGAGGACTGGGAGGTGAGGCTGGGCAGGGTGGGGGCAGGAGGGAACATTCCAGATGGCCTGCCCTGGGCTCCCCTTCTGAGGGGTCCCCCTCCAGGGAGTGCCTCGTGACTAGCTTCTACTGAAGTTCTTTACGGAGGGGCAGGTGACCCCCGCACCCAGCGGTTCTAGAAGGGGCACTGCCCGGGCTGGCGGGCTCCTCTGGGTGCTTGTGTGTGTGCGCATGTGTGCTGCACACACGTGGGCATGCGTTCAGCCCCCCCCGTGGCCCCCAGGAAGCCATCTTCGACAAGAGCACTGGGAAGGTCATCTTGAAAACCTTCAGCCTCTACAGGAAGCTGCTGACTCTGCTCCGAGCAGGCCACGGTCAAGGTAAGGGCTGCGGGACAGGGGCTCACCCTCGGCACCCTGGGCTCTGCGGGACGGGCCGTGGAGCCGGGGCCTGCGTGGCCAGAGGAAGCCCTAGGCGGAAGTTCTTCGGGGCCCGGTAGCGGCTCGGCACAAGGTCCCACAGCCGCCTTTGTCCCCGAGCGGTCACGGTGATGGCTGGGGAGTCGCAGCTCAGTGGCTGGTGGTGGGGCCAGGAAGGTGCTTCTGGGTCGGGGGGAAAAATGTGAAGGCAGGAGGGGCCGGACTGGGCAGGGCCGGGCCAGTTCCTGCACAGGGCCCAGGGGCGGTATGGCCCGTGACCTGTCCTCCCCAGTGGTGGTCCTGCTGAAGGACATCCGGGACGTGAACGTGGAGGAGGAGAAGGTCCGGTACTTCGGGAAGGGCTACTCGGTGGTGCTGCGGTTCGTCACGGGCTTCTCCCACCCGCTCACCCAGAGCGCCATCATGGGCCACCGCAGGTGAGGGCGCAGTCTGGGGTGGGGGGCTGTGGCAGCAGCAGGGCCCTCGGGGACCAGGACGGGGCTGGGGTCTGGTACAGCGGGCACCAGGACATGAGGTGTGGTGGGCGGGACGGAGCCACCTGGGCAGCCCCTGACCACTACTTGCTGATGCTGGCCTCCCAGTGACGTGGAAGCCGTGGCCAAGCTCATCACCGGCTTCCTGGAGCTGCACCGCCTAGAGAGCCCCTCTGAGTTGTCCAACTCCGAGAGCAGCGACAGCGAGGCCGACGGCCCCGGGCAGAGCTGACACCCACCAGCAGCTGCACAGCCCCTCTCTGCTTTACCTCGGGGCATGCCACCGGACTTCGGAGCTGCCTCAACCAGTCCTGATGCTTGACTGAACAAAGCCACAGCCTGGGCCTTGCCCAGGGAGTAGGGCAGGGAGAGGGGCTGGTGGGAGCCAGGGGGCCTAAGGGGTGGGCGGCACAGCGGGTCTGGGCAGCCCCACCTGTGGCTCCTGTCTGGGGGTTACCCTGGGGTGACATCATTGTAGCCAGCTGGGCCTCTCCTGGGGCCAGGGGCTCTTCAGGGCTGTCCTGTGTGCTGGGCTGACGGGCAGACACCTGGAGCCCCTGGAAAGGGGTGACTTCCCTAAAAATGGGGTACCTAGAGAGAAACACACACACATATAAACACCAGGGGCTCCTAGGCAGGAACTGAGTGTAGGCATGCATGGGAGGGCAGCAGGGGCACAGTGCCCGTCCAGGCCCCTCCTCCTGGGGGCAATGGGGAGGTGGGCACAGCGCTCTCCTGTATGAGGGCGGAGGGAGGCTGGACTAGCAAGCAGGTGCAGCTCTGACTTTATTGCAAAATAAAACTCTGTATATCACAGCTGGGTCCTTGGGCATCTGTCCTGTGCGTCTGGGGGCTCCGCAGGGAGCGGCTGCCAGGTCCCTCCAACCTCAGGGTCCTGAGCTGGGTCCCAGCAGGTGCCACCAGCCGCCTCACTGAGGTCCCGCAGCAGCGCCTGTAGCTGCTGCGTGCTGGGGGCCACGTTCTCCTCCAGCCACTCCTCCACGGCATCCGGGTAGAAGCAGCACTGCAGGGCGGCCTCCAGCTCCCGTGCCAGGGCGCTCCACCTGCCCAGGAGGCTGGGGACGAGGAGGCAGCCTGAGCCTGCGCAGTGAGGCTCCTGCGGCTGTTCCCGGAGCACACACCAGAGCCCCACAGTGGCTCAAACTACACTGTGGCCTTGCCAACTTCCTGTGAATGTGATGCATGGGCCAGCACACATTCAACTCACAGCCTGCGAGGTGGGAAGGACTCGGCTGGACAGTTGGCCGACTCTGCACAGGTTGGCATTCGTGGTCCCTGGTCAAGGTCACCATGGACAGTACCATGGGGGTATCATCCTGGGTGATGCTACTGTGGATGGTGCCACGTGGAGGGTCTGGGGGTCACCCTGGGTGATGTCACCATGGACGGTACCACGATGAGGGCTTGGGGGTCACCCTGGGTGATGTCTCCATGGACAGTACCACGATGAGGGCTTGGGGGTCACCCTGGGTGATGTCACCATGGACGGTACCACGATGAGGGTCTGGGGGTCACCCTGGGTGATGTCTCCATGGACTGTACCACGTGGAGGGTCTGGGGGTCACCCTGGGTGATGTCACCATGGACTGTGCCACGTGGAGGGTCTGGGGGTCACCCTGGGTGATGTCACCATGGACGGTACCACGATGAGGGCTTGGGGGTCACCCTGGGTGATGTCTCCATGGACTGTGCCACGTGGAGGGTCTGGGGGTTACCTGATCGCCTCGGGCTGGATGTACTGAACGATGGCTGGGTGGATGAGCTTGTGCCGGCGATGGTAGGGGCTGAACCAGCCTGTCACATACCTGGGGGCACATCCACAGACGGCTGACGGCTCATGTGCAGTAGTCGGGGCCTGCTGGGGCCTGTTCTGTCACCTCTGCCCTGGGGAGTCCAGAGGAGGAGGAGGCCAACAGGCTCAGCTGCCCACCTACCCACCTGTTTCTCTCCAGCAGTGCGTCCACAGAGCCACGCAGGTGGAGGCTGACTTGGGTGACGAGGGCCAGGATGTTGCTGCCAGGGAAGGAGCTGGGCCCCTTGCTGCCAGAGAGGCATACTGAGAACTGGGGTCCCTGGGAGGGCCCGTCGGCGGGGAGGTCAGGCCATTACCTCACGGCATCTGCCACGTCCAGGCTCGAGAGCCCGAGCAGCTTCTCCACTTTGGTTTTAACGTCGTCGCTGAACCCTCCTGAAAGCAACCAGGCAGACAGTGGGGGCCTGGCACAGCTGCACGCGACCCTCCCCTCCCTCAAGGGGTGTGTGTCCGTTCTCTTTTTGAGACACAGAGCTCCACTGGCAGTTCACTCTTCTGATGGCCACACGAGCTGGAGACTCCGTCCTGGTCTCCAACATGAGCTGTGGGAACCCAGGTACGTGAGCCACTCACGCTGCCTCCCACAGTCAGTGTTAACAGGAAGCTGGAGGCAGAGCTGAGGAGCGAACACCTGCCCCCATGGGGCCTCACACAGCCCTGGGAGTGGCGGGGCTGGAGCCCAGCAGCCAGCCAAGTACCCGGCCCCCTGCTGGTAGGGCAGACTGGCACAGGTGCCCCATTCCCACTGGGCTGCCCACTGGGCAAGGGCCACGCTGCCAGAGCAAGGCCAGTGCTCTCCATGACACCGACACTGAGGGCTCAACAGTGGCTCATCCGCCTCCTGCACGCATGGCGTCAAGGTGCCCGTGGCCCACACTACCTACTTCGCTTGGGTCCCAGGTGGGCGGTCCTGCTGCCCAGATGCCTGGCTCCCACCTGCCCTGAGGGGTGGGCAGGGGTCACAGATGGACCACTGCTGAGACATACCATGCAGGAGCGACTGCAGACAGGCGGCCAGGGATGGGATGCCCACGGGCAGCAGCTCACACAGCACGGAGAAGTGGTCGTACCTGCAACCACGGGAGATGCACTCACTGCCCACGGCCGGCTGGCCTGAGGGCACGCTGCTCCCTCCCCTACCAGGCTTGGTGTCGCAGGGCAGCACGCAGTGGGGGCAGCAGAGTGGGAAGTCTGGTGGTACAGTGTGGTGAGGGGCTGTGACAGGGGATATCGGGGGACCTGCCCGGGTCCACTAGCAGCTCGACCTGGCCCTCACCCCGCAGTCACCCTGGGGGGGCGACACTGGCCCTCACCCTGCGGTCACCCTGGAGGGTTGCTGGCCCTCACCCTGCTGGAGATGATGCGGCTTGGTCCCACTTGCCTTTGAAGAAGGCTCGCTGGCCACCCTGGGGGTCATGTTCCGGTTCCCCCACCATCACCCTTGCCTCCCAGGCACAAGGTGTGAGCTCAGGGAAGTGTAGATGGTAAATGAGGGCTGAGGGCGCTTGGTGCTGGGTGGCGCTGGGCAGCACAGGGCAGGGCACCTCCACCTGCCAGAGCGTGGCTTTCTCTGTACTCATGAGTGGTGACGCGCCCACAGGCCTGGCAGGCTTGGCTGGGCTGAGGTCCTGGGGGACTCCACCTGCACCTGGGCCACTCCCCTCAACACAGGACAGGCTGTACTCTGCAAGATGCTCCTAGTTTAGTGCGGCCTGAGGCGTACAAAGGGACCGTGAGCCATCTAGAAGCAGCAGAGCCAGCTGTTGCCCCGGAGCACACAGGCGGCTGGAGGCCCCAGGACTGGCACCCCTGCTTTGGACACCCGAAAGGCTTCTCCCCTTGGCAAGCGGGTGAGGCCCAGGCTGCCCCCCTTTGTTACCCGACAGCTCACCTCTGCCAGCCGGTCAGGACAATGCCCTGTAGAGCGTCTGTGGGCCCCTGGCCCGCCACCTGCAGCCACTGGGCATGGTTGTGGAGATGGTACTCCACGGGCGGCAGGGCCTGGCTGGCCCCCGTGGCCCCCTTGAAGGCGCTGGCGGCCCAGAGGCGCCGGAAGCCGCAGGCCTGGAACTTCTCCATGAGGAGGACTGAAGAGAAAGCAGGCAGGTGGTGGGCAGTAACCCTTAGGCCACACACATCCACTTAGCATCACACATGGGAGCAGCCATGATGGCTGGGCAACCCAGTCATGGGCCCACAAGGAAAGCCTGCCAGAACCAGGAGGGGGAGCACTCTGCAAAGGGTCTTGGATGAGCCTGTGGTTACCCTGAGCTGGGCAGGGCTGTGGCGGGGCAGGAACGGGGACCACGGTGGGGGCTGTGCGGGGTGTGGACTGTGCCCATGGTGGGGGCTGTGCGGGGTGTGGACGGTGCCCACGGTGGGGGCTGTGGCAGTGTGGACGGTGCCCACGGTGGGGGCTGGGCGGGGTGTGGAGGGTGCCCACGGTGGGGGCTGTGGCAGTGTGGACGGGGCCCACGGTGGGGGCTGTGTGGGGTGTGGAGGGTGCCCACGGTGGGGGCTGTGGCAGTGTAGGCGGTGCTTGCAGTGGGGCTGTGGCAGGGCAGGGATGGTACCCATGACAGGGGCTGTGGCAGGGTGGGGATGGTGTCTGGGTGGGCAGGGCCTAACCTGGCACACAGTCGATCAGGACATAAACCCAGGCCCTCGATGCTGCCTCCTGCTGCCCCTGCCCCTTGGTGCCTCCCACTGTCCCCCACCCCTCGGTGTTGCCCCCCTGCTGCTCCCTGCCCCTCAGAGCTGCCCCCGGCTGCTCCCCGCCCCTCAGTGCTGCTCCCCGCTACCCCCTGCCCCTCAGTACTGACCCTTGCCATGCACATCCAGGTCAGCACTGTAGTCCCAGAGCACCAGCTCCACGAGCTGCGGCAACCCCGACGCTGCAGAGCAAGGCTGAGCGTGAGGCAGACGCCTGTGCACATCGTCACAGCGCCTGGGCTTGCCCTCTTCAAATGGGTATGAATCCTCACCCTTGACCCAGTGGGTGTGACCCAGACCCAGCAGGGCGCCCCATTTCGGCAGGCCCCAAGACCACAGGTGGATTTGGGAGTGGCGACTCCTGGCCTGGGGCTCTCGTGCAGGGCCACCAGCCCATGTGCATACGCTGCTAAGTGGCGCCTTGATTGGGCAGTGGCTGTCCCAGGCTGTGGGGAACCAGGACAACAGTGGCCGGGCTGGACTCAGCTCTGTGGGGTCTCAGGGCTTGGGTGCAGCGAGGGGGTGTCAGCCCTCAGCTCTGGGCCCCCCTGTAGGGTCCCACATCGACTGTCGGTTTCAGATGCAGGACCCCCACAAGGTGGTCTGAGCGGGTCTGTGTATAGAGCTCTACAGTCTTGGGGCTACTGAGGAGGGGTCCCACCGCACACCCCCCCACCCCCGAGGCTGACCTGCGAGCTGCTCCTGTGCCATGTCCCGCAGCATGTCATCCCACACCAGGGGTGTCACGCCAGGATGCCGGGTTAGCACGTGGCCGGCCACAGCCTTCATGTGGGTCAGGCACAGCGCTGCCCTGTTGTTAGGCTCCTGTTGCAGCCAGCGTCTCGAGGCCTCCCCTTCACCCAGGTAATAGACCTGAGGAAGAGACGGCAGGGGCTGGCTGTGAGCGCCCCATGTGTGCCTTGGGGGGGCACAGGGCCTGGGCAGCCTCTGCAGGCTGAGCTGAGGTCACAGCTCTGAGGTGCCCCCTCAGCATGGCACCACCTGAAACGTACCCCAGCAGAGGGGCGTGTGCGCACAGAAGCCGGCAGCAGGGCCACGGGCTGTGACTGCAAGCAGGGGAAGTACTAAGGGGGCCGAGAGGAGCCCCCTGTGGGGGCTCACAGGGTTGGAGGGGCACAGGGTTGGAGGGGCACAGGGTTTGTGCATGCACAAAGCAAGGGTTGTGAATTCTGCACATGGTGCATGCCCCGGGCTGAGACAAATACTCTCCTCATGCTGCCTGTGTCTCCCCAGACATGTACACACACACACACACACACACACATTTCCCTGAGTGGGCACCCATGGACACTGACGTGTTTGCCTCAAGCACAGAGCTCATTATCCCATCCCAGACCTCCAATGTCCTTGACTCCCAACCTGCTCTCCTCCGGCTGTGACACCACAAGAAACCCACCTCCAGTGCTGCTCTGACACACCCAGCTCCAGTGCTGAGCACACACCCATCTCCAGTGCTGGTGACACACCCAGCTCCAGTGCTGGGCACACACCACCTCCAGTGCTGGGCACACACCACCTCCAGTGCTGCTGACACACCCACCTCCAGTGCTGGGCACACACGCATCTCCAGTGCTGGGCACACACCACCTCCAGTGCTGGGCACACACCCAGCTCCAGTGCTGCTGACACACCCACCTCCAGTGCTGAGCACGAACCCACCTCCAGTGCTGAGCACACACTTACCTCCAGTGCTGGGCACACACCCAGCTCCAGTGCTGAGCACACACCCACCTCCAGTGCTGCTGACACACCCACCTCCAGTGCTGGGCACACACCCACCTCCAGTACTGGGTCTAAGGCACAAACCTGTCTTTGCCAGGGATAGCATAGCTCCTGGCCACCAAGACACACCCCCTCCCAAGATATCGGCTAGACCAGCCTGCCACGAGCCCTGTTTGTATTCACTGGGATCACGTGTAAGAGGAGAGGTGTGGCAAATGGCACCCACCTCATCGCACCCAATGTGCAGCCACCGGGCACCAGGGTGCAGCGCCAGCACCTGGTCGATCATGGCTCCTACCAGTGCCAGGGCCTGTGGCTCATGGGGGTTCAGCGTGTTGGGGAAGGCTGGCACTTCCCGGAGGTGTGCGAACATCGCGTGCTTCAGTACAAACTGTGGAGACAGGGTGGGCAGGCTCACTGATGTGGGGATGGGTGGGGACAGGGCGGCTGGACCTGCCTCCTCCACCCGAACCCAAGGGCCCTGGGCAGGATCCCTCTGCTCTGCCGCCAGCCAAGACAGGCCAAGCTCTGTCCCAGGGCTCCTGACGGGCCAGACCTATCCGGGACCTGTCCCTGGCTGCCTTGGGACCTTCTAGCCACTCTCCCAGAGCCAGCAGAAACAGGGCGACTGAGTGAGGGTGGCCCTTGTAGGGCTGCAGCCTGCAGCCTGCCCTACCAGCCCCTCCCTGTGAGAGCCAGACCCTTGGGGGCCATGTCCCCAAAGCAGCAGCTGCAGAAAACCCCTGCTGGCCCCTGCAGGTCCCCGGAAAGACAGCTGGAGGGCTGTCCAGGTCCACTCAAAGGGGTGCAGGCTTGGGAAGCCCTAAGCCCTGCTGACCAGGGAGACACAGGGGTGGCGGCAGTGTACTCATGGCTGGGAGCCCAGTGCTGCTCCCGGGGAATCTGCTGGGAAACCCTCCCCAGCACCACCACAGGGGAGAAAAACCTCCGGCCTGCTGTTGAGATGCCAGCTTTCAACCAAGAGATAGACACAAACACACTGGAGCGGGAGCCAGCCCCAGGAGAGCCCGTCGGCCATCACCCACCCTGAAATGCCTGGGGGAGCCCGCCGGCAGTCACCCACCCTGAGATGCCTGGGGAGCCTGCCGGCAGTCACCCACCCTGAGATGCCTGGGGAGCCCGTCGGCAGTCACCCACCCTGAGTGTGCCCCTGGAGCCCGTCGGCAGTCACCCACCCTGAGTGTGTCCCTGGAGCCCGTCGGCCATCACCCACCCTGAGCATGCCACAGGACAGCCCGCCGGCCGTCACCCACCCTGAGTGTGCCCCTAGAGCCCGTAGGCCATCACCCGCCCTGAGCATGCCTGGGGAGCCTGTCGGCCGTCACCCACCCCGAGATGCCCCAGGGGAGCCCGTCACCCACCCTGAGTGTGCCCCTGGAGCCCGTCGGCCATCACCCACCCTGAGCATGCCCCGGGGGAGCCTGCCAGCCGTCACCCACCCTGAGCGTGCCCAGGGTACTCTGCATGCTTTCAAAAGAACTAGGGGTCAGATTCCACTGAAGACGGCAATTTTGTCTGAGCAGAATCACTCAACATGCTAACCCTCCATCTCCATGTGCCAGGATCTCATATGGGTGCTGGTTCATGGCCTGGGTGCTCTGCTTCCCATCCAGCTCCCTGCCTGTGGCCTGGGAAAGCAGTCGAGGACGGCCTAAAGCCTTGGAACACTGCACCCACGTGGGAGACCCGGAAGACGCTCCTGACTCCTGGCTTTGGATGGGCTTAGCTCCAGCTCAGCTCCGGCCATTGTGGCCACTTGGGGAGTAAACCAGCAGATGTAAGATCTTTCTGTCTCTGCTTCTCTCTGTAAATCTGCCTTTCCATAAAAGAAAAAGAAGGCTTACAAGTGTGGCCACGTGGCTCCTCAAGAAGGCACAAAGCACCACTGCCCAGAGGGCAGCCAGTCACCTCAAGAGGCCACACAGCTGTGCCAGAAGTGACAAGATTAACACCTGGCTAAGTGGCACGCCCAAATGGCCTCATCTGCATGAAACCTCACGAGGGACAGAAGCAGAAATCCTCCCGGGCTGTGAGTAGACAGAGCTAAAGCCTAGCTAGCACACCCCACGGCCAACCCCAGGCTGGGAAAAGGCAAAACGGGGAGGCCACACAGGCAACAAACCGCTCGGTGCAGACACCTCTGGTTTGGGCATCTTGGGGTGCTGCTTTAGGCACCCCAGTTTCTGACCATTTTTTGTAATCTCAAAGTGGTGTGAGCCCTGGCAGGCAGGGGTGCAGCAAGAGGAGGGTAGAGTGGTGCTCTGGTCTGCTGAGCCAGGGAGCCGCTAGAGGGCGTCCCAGCCAGCCAGGCGGTGAGGGGCCGGCCTAGGAGGATGGTGGTCATGCCAAGTAGGCAGGGGACCTAAGGAGACATCAGCAGGCTGGGCACACGAGCTGGGAGTCAGCAACGTGCAGACAGCAAGGGGAAGTGGCAGTGGGGACAGGGACCTGCAGAGCAAGGGAGTGACAGAGGGCCCGGCCAGCAGCAGCCCAGGAGCTGGGGACAGCAAGAAGGCAGAGCCGGGCGGGAGGCAAGCCCGAGGGACGGAGGCCAGGAGCTGGGGACGGCAGAGCAAGGGGCGGGATTCAGGCCTGAGGACAGGAGTGTAACTGAGGGCCCGGCCAGCAAGGACTGGGACCCGGGGCTAATTCTCACAAGATGCTCTATTTGGAGCCAGGCACGCTGAGTGGGTTCAGAACCCACCCACGAGTGTGGCAGAGGCCGTGAACAGCTCCACCTGCAGGAGAGCCTCTGGGGGCCTTGAGGGCAAGGCTGGCTTCGAGTGGAAATGGGGTCCTGGTGCCACAGGAGCGGTGGGGGCTGGTGACAAACCCAACCGTAAACCCAGGAGACGCTGGCGCTGTGTGTCTCCCTTCTGTGATACAGACACGCAGGTGTCTGTGGAATGATCTTCAAAGGCATCCGGCACTGGCAGCCTCTGCAGGGACCACTCACCTCCATGTGTCCGAACGTCTGCACCAGGGGCACAACCTCCAGCTCGCTCTGCGCAGCCAGCTGCAGGATCTCCTGGACTTCGGCGGGGCTGGGGACACAAGGCAGCAAGATGCTCAGGCCGTAGTCAGCACAGCCGCTCCCACAGCCCTGGAGGACCAGCTCCACGAGGACCCACAGGCCTCAAGAGGGCAGCAGGTGGTGCCCGTCACACGCCCTAGCCAGACACTCCATGGTGATGTCGTCTGGCAGAATTGCAGGCCGGACTGCCAGGCCAGCGCTGGGCCGTGTGAGGTCGTGGCCTGGAAGGACCTTCCCCCGTCTTCCCCACAGCTCATCTCAGCAGGGCTGTGCTGCAGACCTGGAGAACCGGTCACCAGGGACATTCTCACGGCAGAAGCCGAGAGGCACAGAGGAGCAGGACCGCTCTCCCGCCTGCTGGCCCAGGTCTGTGGACACCCCGGCCCAGCAGCAGGCGTGCACGGGCTCGCCACAGGTTTTCTCTTTTTGAAGTTTGCTAATTTGTAGGCACGTGGCATTGTGGCTTTAATTGAATCTGCTACTGCCCAAGGCTTAACATCCTCCCATCTGCTTAGCTGCAGGCACCCACCGCCTCGCCCCCAAGGAATTGGATTCTCTGGACCAATTCTGGGGCCTCTGAGGTTAGCCCCGTGCTCCCACCAGTTTTGCTCTTGTCCAGCCGCCCCACCACACTTCCCACCCTAGGATGCCTGGGACCCTGTGGGCAGACCTGTAGGCGTGGGTGGCCCTCAGCAGCCGCAGGGGGCCATCATACGGGAACATGTCTTCATATTCCAGGAGGAGGCCGTTAGCCCCGAGTGTGTGGAACAGGGGGAACACCTGGAGGGCAGAGTTGGAACCTCAGTGGGCAGACACAAGTTGCCCTGGTCAGCTTTCCCAGGCCCAAGCAGGCCCGGTGGGTGACCAGGGTGCAGAGGGGTCTCCACAGAGGGCTCCCTGTAGCTGTCCTGTTGGGTGGCCAGGATGTAGAGGGCTCCCATGGCTGCCCGGTGGGTGACCAGGGTGCGGAGGGCTCCCATGACTGACCAGGGTGCAGAGGGCTCCCGTGGCTGCCCGGTGGGTGACCAGGGTGCGGAGGGCTCCCATGGCTGACCAGGGTGCAGAGGGCTCCCGTGGCTGCCCGGTGGGTGACCAGGGTGCGGAGGGCTCCCATGGCTGACCAGGGTGCAGAGGGCTCCCGTGGCTGCCCGGTGGGTGACCAGGGTGCGGAGGGCTCCCATGGCTGACCAGGGTGCAGAGGGCTCCCGTGGCTGCCCGGTGGGTGACCAGGGTGCGGAGGGCTCCCATGGCTGACCAGGGTGCAGAGGGCTCCCGTGGCTGCTTGGTGGGTGACGAGGGTGCGGAGGGCTCCCATGGCTGACCAGGGTGCAGAGGGCTCCCGTGGCTGCCCGGTGGGTGACCAGGGTGCGGAGGGCTCCCATGGTTGACCAGGGTGCAGAGGGCTCCCGTGGCTGCTTGGTGGGTGACCAGGGTGCGGAGGGCTCCCATGGCTGACCAGGGTGCAGAGGGCTCCCGTGGCTGCCCGGTGGGTGACGAGGGTGCAGAGGTGCCTCTCCCGCTGCACGGGGGGCCAGGCCATGGAGGGGTGGGGCTCTCAGTCCTTCCCAGTGTCCCCTGGAGCCCCAGCCCTTCCTCACCTGCGCCAGGTACGAGACCTTGGGTGGGGCGCCTTTGAGGTCCACGTGGACCAGCCTCATCTTAAACGCCGGGGGGCCCGCCATGTCCAAGCTTCCTGGCGTCCTCCGGGTGCCCACCTCGCCCGCCGCCTCAGCCCGCAGCCCGGCCTGCCCTGCTGCAGCCCGGAACCCGCACGCTACAGAATCCTCCCGGGTCCGGGCTGAGGAGATGGAGGCCGGAGGAGGGACGGGACGGGGAGGGACCGGGAGGAAAGACCCGTCCCGCTCGGCCGTCGACTGCTCACGTCTGCCGGCAGTCTCGGGGGCCGGCGAGGAAAGGGCTCGGCCGCTTCTGCGTGCGCTCAGCAGTTTCCGTGAACACTCGGCAGTTTCCGTTAACGCTCGGCGATTTCCGTGAGCGCTACGCGATTTCCAGGTGCGTTCGGCGGTTTCCGCACGCTCTCGGCTTCCCGACGCCTCGCCCGAAGGCCCCTTAGCCTAGAGCCGCGCCTACGGCACGTGAGGGCCGCGCCGAGGGGCGGGGCACCCCTGCGGGTGGGCGGGGCACCCCTGCGGGTGGGCGGGGCCTTGCGAGCCCCTCCCCGCGGGCCCTGGCTGTAGAACGGCGCTCCCTCCACGGTCCTCGAACACCCGGCTGGGCCTCACGGGGAGGCGGGGCGATCCGGTCTCCCTTTTGTGCCAGGCCCCGCCCCCTGGAGAATGCAGGTCACGCCCTCCGACGGCCACGCCCCCGGCAGACACCGCCCTCAGCAGACCCCACCCTTCGCCGGCAACATCCATCTGCAGACCCCACCCACCGGCCCCGCCCCCTCCCCAGGCCCCGCCCTCAGGGACCCTCCAGTCAATCCGCGCCTTCGAGAAGCAGGTCAGGCGGAAGGGGAGAGCCCGGGTCCGAACCCGCCACCTTTCCGCAGTAGGGACACCATTGCTGGGCGGAGGGGGGCCTCTGACGTCATCCCGCCTCCAGCGGCTCCTGGGGACCAGGACGGGGTCACCCATGGCTCCTGGTCTGACCCAGAAAGGTCTTCTGCTCCCTTGTTTACTTGCAAGCACAGAAGTCTTATTGGTGGAAGTGCCCCAGAAGCCATTCCTCATTTGCAATAAACTCTCTCAGCGTCTTCCCTCGCACACATCCCCACGCCCCCCTCCCAGGTGTGCATGGGTCCCCAGCCCAGTCTTCCAGTGGGATGGCCTGCTGGTGTGGAACTTCGCCAGCCCCCCAGGGACCCAGGTCCCCCACACACACATGTGCTGGCCTGGGACCCTACTTCTTCTCCCACCCACGGTCCGAGCCCATTCGCAGTTCCCCAACCCAGGGCACCAGCAAGCTCACCCCCACCCGCCTGAGGGCAAGCCCACGCCCTGAGACCTCTGCCCGTGCCTTGGGCGGAGGGGGGTCTTGAAGCCTTGACGGGAGGCGCTCTGGCCCAGGCACCTGCCGTCTTCCTCAGGACGTGACCCTCCACATGAGTTTTCTTAGCCTTCAGCTCTTTATATATCCTACACCCCATTAAAAGGCGCACCCCAGGGATGGAGTGGCAGCTGACGTGCTGTGACCCAGATGTCCAGGATGGGACCTGGCCCTGCTGCTGCTCAACACCGTGGCCCGTTTTCCTGTCCATGTGATGATCACAGTTCCGGACCCCGAAGGCAGCCCTGATTGGACTCCTCCCTGCGTCCTAGAGTGGGCAGCGGAAGGGTGAGGAGCGCTGGCAGCCTCACAGCCCTGGGTGAAGCCCTCGCTCGTTCTGGATGCGTGGGCCTGGGCGGCCTTCCGCTGCTGCAGCCATTTCCATCTCTATGAAATGGTATCTGAGAGGCAACCAGAAAACCCTGCTCCATAGTCCCGGGATGTACACCAGCCTGAAAATGGCCTGTCTCCGGGCAAGCCAGGAGCGGGGGCTCTGCGGCCGCCCACCGTCCCCCGCCGTCCCTGCGGTGTGGCCATCTCGCACTCAGGATTGGCTCACGGAGGGCAGCAGGCAGAGAAAAATATGCTTTTCCTTCTCAGTAAGGAACTCTGGGAGGTAATTTAGACCAGCATGCAGAGAAAGCCAGACCAGAGAAGTTTCCCACTGGCTGACTGTAGGGGCACGCGGTGGGGCCTCTGGTCGTGTGCCCCCGGTCGTGTGCCCCCGGTGCCCCATGGGAGGATTTTCTGCCAGGGGCCTCGAGAGGCCAGCCTTCCTTGCTGTGGCCCTGAGGGTGTGTATAAAGCTCAGGGTTTCAGTTCTTCCCACCTTGGCTGGGGCTCCTTCTGAATACCACACACGTGAACATGAGAAAATAAGTATTTTCATAAGAAGTGTCACAGGCAGGTCAGAGTGTAACCGCGGCCGCCACAGCACGAGGGCTCACTCGGTGTCCTCGGGGGCTTCACTTTCTGCTTCGGTGGCCGACTCCACGGGTGCCATCCCGCCTGGGCCTTCACGCATGCTGTGGGGAGCAGAGCAGGCCAGCTGTCCATCCGCTCGCCCCGTCTGCTCCCATTAGGTAAGGCGAGGAAGGCAGCCCTCCTTTTACCTTGCCCAATTGCTGAAAATTTCCTCCTCATCAGAAGTCTCGTCGTGGAGTGTCCGGGCCAACTCTTCCTGGCGTGCAGTGCTGCTGGGTCTGCGCCTGCCCCTTAGCCAGCGTGGCCAGCTCCATCAGGGGAAGCCCACCTAGGAAAGCAGGGGGAATAGTCTCGCCCCGATCCCCACCCCTCCTCTCCAGGCACCCCACATCTCCTAGGCTTTACCTGCTTGTTGTTTGTGCACTTCCCGGGCGAATCTTTGCCAAAGTTTCTGCGGAAAACACACGGCCAAGACAGAGCCGTCCTGCATGCCTCGCCCGATGTGCGGCCCTGGTGTTCCTGGGACAGAATGGGGCCTCGCCCCACAATCACCACAGACCTGGGATCTGGGCTTCTGGGAGCACCCCGTGTCTGCCCGGAAGTGCCCCAGTGGCTAAGGACCAACTCTGACCATCGCATTGCGTGAGGTTGTCAGCCCCAGCCACTGCGTTCGCCAAGTGCCCTGTGCACACCCTCCTGGGGTAGTTGACAGCAGCTCCCCTCCGCCTGGGCTGCGGGAGAAGTCGCTCTGTTTGCACAGTCCTTGATCCCTGTAAACTGAGTGACCTCAGGCAGGGCCTGAGTCCCGACCGCAGAGGTACCCTGCTCTCCAAGCCGCACACTGCAGCTGTCCCTGATGGGAGAGGGGGTGGTGACAGCGGTTACAGGACCAGGCTAGCATGCCACACAAGACGATGTTTCCGAATGCAGGCATTACACAAAGGAGTGCGTTGTCCCGCAGCTGTGCCTGTGTGGCACACATGTGCTGCTTTCTGATGGGGAGGTGGCTCGCAGCCCCGAGCCCTCACAGCCAGGGAGAAGCCCCAGCCGGGAAGGAGCCCTCCTCTGACGCTAGCCGTGAGACCGTGGGCGAGAAAGATGCTGTCCCTTTCTTGCTTCCTTCTCAACCAGCGAAGAGACTTCTCTTCAGTGAAGGCTCTTCCAGTTAAAGCTCTGAGAGGCTTGACAAGAGGAGAGAAGATGCGCCCAGCACGATGGTTTAGTGGCTAAAGTCCTCGCCTTGCACGCCCGGGATCCCATATGGGCACCGGTGCTAATTCCGGAAGCCCCACCTCCCATCCAGCTTCCTGCTTGTGGCCTGGGAAGGCAGTGGAGGACGGCCCAAAGCCTTGGGACCCTGCACCCGCGTGGGAGACATGTAAGAATCTTTTCTCTCTTTGTCCTCTTTGCAAATCTGCCATTCTAATAAAAACAGAGTAAATCTTTCAAAAAAAAAAAAACAGGTTAGGAAAAAAATAGAGAAGACAAGCAGGATGAGAACAGCTGTTTCTGCAGCCTTGACGGGAATCAGCCCTCCCCCAGCCCTCCCCCAACCTTCCCCCAGCCCTCCCCCAGCCCTTCCCCAGCTCTCCCCCAGCCCTCCCCCAGCCCTCCCCCAGCCCTCCTCCCCCAGCCCTCCCCCAGCCCTCCTCCCCCAGCCCTCCCCCAGCTCTCCCCCAGCCCTTCCCCAGCTCTCCCCCAGCCCTCCCCCAGCCCTCCCCCAGCCCTTCCCCAGCTCTCCCCCAGCCCCCCCCAGCCCTCCCCCAGCCCTCCTCCCCCAGCCCTCCCCCAGCCCTCCCCCAGCCCTCCCCCAGCTCTCCCCCAGCCCTTCCCCAGCTCTCCCCCAGCCCTCCCCCAGCCCTCCCCCAGCCCTCCCCTATGGTAAGCACGAGAACTGGGAGGGGGTGGTGAACTGTCCTGGACATAACTATAGTATACCTCAGCATGGGTGTAGCTTGGGTCTGGGTTGTGCCAGATTGATTGGATCTTGGGGTGGACCATATGGGCTTGGGCTGTAGCATCCAACAGTAAGAGCCAGATTGACTGTGGGCTGTTTGGGCAAGGCCACTGTTTCTGCCAGGATAGGAGGTGGGCCCAGTCAGATTGGGCCAAGGACCCACCAGTGTACGTGAGATCTACCACTGGGAATTGACCTGATAGAGGAACTCAGGGAAATCCTGTCAGGATTTAATCCTTGCAGGTGAGCCAAGGCAGAGATCAGCCCATCCCAGACCAGGTTACAGTACCCGCTGGCATTCATGTGGGTCAAGTCTGGAGTTGGGCCAGGCTGGGCCAATTCATAGCACCCACTGGCAAATGTGAAAACCAGGACAGGGTGCAGGACAAGCATGGTTGGACTGCACCACCAACCAGTTCACGTTAGGGCCAGGACTGGGTGTTGTCCAGGTTGGGCCAGGCTGCAACATCCACTGGCAAATGCCAACCTGAGGCCAGGTATGCTATACTGGGCTGCAGGACCCACCAGCACAAGTAACACTTGAGGGGATATACTTGGCAGGGGGGCCAGTGGGGCCTCCTCTGCTGGGCCAGTGTTACTGCTGCTAAGCACGAGACCTAGGACCAGCAGGGGCAGAACAGGATAGGCAGGGTTACAACACCCATTGGCGTTCATGTGAGCCAGGTTGGGCTAAGTGAACATAGCCACTGGTGCATTTATGAGCCAGAGTAAGTGCAAGCTGGTCAGGCTTCACCAAGGTATCAGCTGGCAAGTGCTGGAACTAGGGGCAAGTCTCGTCCAGCTAGACCACAGAACCACCTGGAAAGTATAAGATCGGGGTTTGGAATTGGCCTAGTAGGGAAACTGGGCACCTCTCTGATATGCTGCAGCTCCCACCAGTAAGAATGAGAATTAGGGCTGGGGGTGGACCTGGTTGGACAGGCAGTAGCACCCACCAGCATAGCTGTGGGCTGGGTAGTGGGGTTGTTTAGGCTGAGCTAGCCTTCAGCACCCCACGGGTATCTAGAAAAGCCAAATAGTATTTGGGACAGACTGGACCAGTCTGTTGCGTATCTTGCCTACACTGGAACCATAGCTGGGGGGTGGCCTGGTGGGGGTAATTGGAAGTCACTCTGACAGGGTTGCTATTGCCACTGGTATGCATGAGTGCCTAATGTGTTGTGGGTAGGGTTGGGCTGGGCCACACTATCCATTGGTTTGTGTAAGAGATGGGTCTGGGGACAGAACTGACCCAACAACTGCAACCACCAGTGTGCGTGTAGGCTGATGTGGGTGATGGACTGAGCCAGACCCCACACTGGCTTCACATAAGTCATGTCTGAGGTCACTTCTGGTGAGGTTTCTCTGGGAACCCCCAACTGGACCACTGGACTGAGAACACCAATCATGGGGGAAAAAACACAGGATTTGTGGCCTGATCATGGGCTGCATGTATCAGAATTGACCTTAAGCTGCTGAAGATGGAGCAGCGACGGCATGCCCAGATGTACATGGAGGATGTGGAAATTCACTGGGGCCTGCAGAGGACATCTAGTACCACAGCAGAGGATGGAGGGCAGAACAAATTGGACAACTCTCCCCGCCAAGGTTTGCCAGGAAGTATATGGGTGAATGAAAATTCTGAGATGGAGTATGTCAGCCAGTGGACCTTGAAAGGATTTCTCATCCTTGGAGCAATGGAATCAGCAAGCATTTCAGAACTATCAAAACCACTCGAGCAATGCCCTTGGAGCATGCTCCACATTCAGGACCCTGGGATGACATTGGCTATGCCCCCTTACCTGGTACTAATTCGGTTAGGATGCTGGGTGTGGTGGCTTCCCCACGTTTTCTCCTTTCTTCCCCAATACAGAAGGAAAACAAAACTGGAAGCAGTGGTCTCATCTACCTACTATTCCTTGACCCCTTCCCATCCTAATCAGTGGTGCATATGGACATGCACCCTTCTCAATTATGTAATCATCAAAAATAAAATTAATATTAAACTAATGGAGCAAATAAAAATCACTGAAAGAAACAAAGTTACCTGTGACAACGGAGCCATCAAACTAACCCTGGATTTCCTAACCAGATTACACAAGAGCCCAATAAACGGCTTTTTAACTTAACCTGCTATTGTATTGAGCCTCTGTTGGAGCTCCCTGAGCTTATCACCTCAGCAAAGTTAGCTGTGGCCACAAGAATGCTATGTAATCCACCATACTAACACATAGAGTGGATTACAATCAGGATTTCCACAGGTCTGCAGGTGGATGGTATCATCATACCAGAAGGCTCTGCAACTAAGATTGGCTCTGCTTTTCCTACAGGTCTGCACACTGGCAAGGACAGGGCAGGGGCTGGTCCTAGAGTGTCCACTCTGGGTCCAGGCTGAAGAGCCAGCTGCTACCCACAGAGAAGGTGGAAGAGCACAAGGGATCAGAAACTCACAAGACCTCTTTAAGACTAGTGGCAGAACCAGCAACTTTCATTGCCGTTTTAAAGATTTGTTTTTATTGGAAAGTCAGATACACAGAGAAGAAGATCTTCTGTCTGTTGATTCACTCCCCAAGTAGCCACAACAGCCAGAGCTGCACCAATCCGAAGCCAGGAGCCTGGAGCCTCTTCCAGGTCTCCCACATGGGTGCAGGGTCCCAAGGCTTTGGGCCATCCTCCAATGTTTTCTCAGGCCACAAGCAGGAAACTGGATGGGAAGTGGGGCCTTTGGGATATGAACTGGCACCCATATGGGATTCCAGTGCTTGCAAGGTGAGGACTTCAGGCACTAGGCACTCTGGACCCCTTTAATTGCTTCTTCATTCCATGAGCCAACACTGGCTACATGGGCAAGCCCAAAGCCAGCGGGCAGCAGAGGATGGTCCACCCACAATGAGATCAGGGCAGTGTGTGGATCATACAGGGGCAGAGAACTGGAGCCAACAATCCTATCTATCCCAGGGTCTCTTTTTGAGGTGCTGCCTACAAAGGCAGTGTCTGTCTCAAACCCAGTTCTTTCTTAGGTTTTGATAGTTCAACTGGAATGCTGACAGGGTAAGACCCCATCTTCTACTCCTCACCGCTCCCACATTCTTCCCCCGGGGCCCAGCATCCAGCCCTGCCCTCGGGGATGGCTCAGCACTATTACTGAATGCATTATAGACAGTTCCTTCGTTTCCGCATGTGATCAGTTGGGCAATAAGGACTGACTTCCTGAAGCTCCACACACTGTGTCAAGCAGCCACCCCCAGATGCTGTGAGGGCTGTGCCTCGTGGAGCTGAGATCTGTACCCAGATGTGCCCTTGGGTGTGCATTTCCTTCTCACCCATCTCCCAGCCCCTCTCAGGACCTGGGCTGCTATGTGGCTTCACAAATACCTGCAGTGTGAGATGAGAAGAGAGACAAGCCTGTAGATCTCTTCGGCAAGGTTGAAGGCCTGGGAAAGAAGGCCGAGAGACTCCTGAAGAGCAGACAAGATTACTTCAAGGGGTCCCCACAGCACCAGGAGATGGCGGCTGTGCGCAAAGCACATAAGTATATTGTTTGCTCAATCTGGGGCAAGGCATCCCGCGCCAAACCACCAATGCTTTTGCTGAGCCAATTTGGGTGAAATACTCTTTTTAGTCACAGTAACTGGCAACTTGAAGTGAATAATGTGTCTCCATGTCCTTATTTTAAAGCCATAGTGCTCAACCGTTAAGTATACTGGACACCCACATGCTTTTAACTGTGGATTTAATCCAAGTAGTGGTAGGATCTCACTTGTGGGAGAGGCATTATTAAATGCCATTCCCAGCCCCAACTCCAAGAGCCAGTTTTATACATGGAAGGTAGGCCTGGGGCCACAACCTTTCTGCACATTAGAGACAGAAGTGAGGAAACACAGGACCCTAGACCAAGGTGAGGGGCACTTGGTTCTGAAATTAACCTATACCCCAACTGCCCTGGTGCCCTCTTGGCATTTGCACCTGGCAGCTCCCCTGACATCCCTCACCCTCCTCAGGCCCAAGATTTCTACTTGGCTAAAGCCTGTAAGTTAAGTATCCAGAACACTGCCCTTGCTGGCTGCCTGCACTGCCCTCACTGACTGTGGTCACTATTTGGGACATTTTGTGCTAAATCCATTTGAGAGTGATAGACGGTACAATCAGAATGTGAGAAAACTGGATCTGAGGTCACATTCTGTAGGGGAATTGTAGGCATTCCTCTGTGGAACTGCAACACTTGCTGGTTTATGCAGAGAGCTGGGGATGGTGATGGGCTGACCCAGGCTGGACCACAGAACTCACCTAACATGAACCCACCTGATACTCTTGGGAACTGAAGCCAGGATAAGGCTGGGTGGTGCCAGGATACAGCACCCACCGACACATGCAAGGACCAAGCCTGGCAACACACCATGCAAAACAGGGCCACTGACCCCACTGGCATATATGATATTTGAGGTTGGAAGCAGACCTGGTAGGGGAACTTGGGGAACTTCCTACTAAGCCCCAGCTCCTGCTGGGGAGCATAACAGCCAAGGCTGGGGGTGTGCCAGGCCAAGGTGTGGGCCTTGCCCAACTGGGCTAGGCTGCAACACCTGCCAATAAGAGCTGAGACTGCAGGTGGGCCATGTCAGGCTGGATTGATGGCACTCACCAGCATGCGCAAGATCTAGGGCTGGGAACAGGCATGGTAGAGAAACTCCAGGCTGCAGTCCCACTAAGTGATTGTGAAAGCTGTAGGAGGACCATGCTGGGAAAGACTGCAGCGCCCATCAGCATGTGTATGGGCTGGGTTGGGAGTGGGCCAGGCTGGGCTAGTTTCTAGCACCCCCCAGTGGTCATGAGAGCCCAAATGGGTGTGAAACAGGCCAAGCTAGGTCACAGCATCTACCACATCACATGAGAACTGGACCTGGCAGAGGTTCAGGCTGGCCTAGGCTGTAGGACCCATTGGTGTTAGCTGGAATGGGTTTGTGCCAGTCAGGCTAAGCTGTAGTACCTGCTGGTGGGTGCCAGCTGTGGGCTGTCTATGTCAGTCTGAGTAGCAGCACCCATAGGTACACACAAGAGCCATTGCTGGAACCAGGCCTGGTAGGGGAACTTGGGGAACTGTCCTGCTAGGCACAGCACCAGCCAGGGCTGTGAGCATCTAGACCAGGCTGGAATGTAGCACCTGTTGACACATGTGTAAGATGGGTTTGGGGGTGGGCCACACTGGGTGCGGGCTGGGCTGGATCATTCCACAGCACACTCTGGCATAAGTGGGAGTCTGAACAGGGTGTTTGGCAGGCTGGGTTGGACTGCAATACTGCAAATTCACATGGAGGTGGGCAGGCTGAGCTAGGCTGCTGCACCTGCCAGCAAGAACTGGGAATGGAGGCAGACCAGGAAGAGCCAGGCTATAATACCTGTTTCTGAATACCAAGACCAGGCATGGGTCATCTTAGATTGGGCCACAGCACCTACTGGTACACACAAGACCCAGGGCTTGGAATGAGACTGCTAGGGGAATCTTAGGGACTCCTTTACTGGGCTACTGTTTTCACTATGAGTGTTAGAGTTGGGAATGGGGCAGGCCAGCCTGGGAGCAGACCATGCTGGGTCAAATTGCTGTACCTACTGTCAGGCATGAGAAACAGAATAGGTGTGGGCCAGATGTGCTGGGCCATAATACCAGCTGGCAAGTACCGGGACTGGGTGCTAGCCATGTGAGATTGGACTGCAGTAGCTCCTGGCAAGCACAAGTTATGGGACTGGGAAAATGCCTGGCAAAGGAGCTGTAGGCACTCCCTTGCTGGGTCCTACCTATTGCTGGTGAGCACAAGAGCTAGAGCTGTGGGGGGGTCAGGCTGGACAAGGTGGCGGCACCTGTCAGCATATGTGAATGTTGGGTCT